AATAGGGACTGAGCGTGGCACTGATCTGAACTCTCTACTCGATTCCTTGACTGCAGGTTTCTGGTAACATTTTAAAGTGCCTGGGACCCAAAAGGAGAGTTAGAAAATGACTGGGAAAAGAAGGAAGCCCTGTTGAACTTAGTGGGGACTTCTGAATGAAAGTGTTTACTACAGTTAGAAAGAGGGGAGGAAGTAGGGTCAACCGAGATACTTTCTCCAGGGAACTTAGACTACACTTAGTTCCGGCTGGCTCCTGAGTTGGCCACACCCAGCAGGAACTCATTAGCATAAACAGCAGAAACTCTTTAGGATTGGCTTCAGTAGGCATGTGTGGCCTAACATGCAAAGGAGTCCCTGCTCCAAAAAAAGGCCCTGGGTTTTAACAACAAACAAGGTAAACAGAATAAGAAGCAAAAGGTGGGTGTGGCTGGATGACCACACTTTTGGCAACACGGGGCTGCGGCCTAATATGCTAATGAGCTGTGGTGGCAGGGTATGGCCTAATATGCTAATGAGTTTCAGCTGTTGGGTGTGGCCTGTTATGCTAATGAGTTCCTGCTGGGACCTCATAAGCCCTGCTTATTTGTATTATTTTTAGCTCACCTTTCTCACAGGGCTCAAGGTGATTACACATAGTGAGCCGGCATAATCACAAAAATAGGACTGTCGAAGAGTCCCAGTCCTGTCCAGGTCCAAAACTCTTTGTTTAAAGGTTGGAGAAGACAAAATTACAAAAACCCTGGGGTGTGACTCCTCACACACCAGTCCGGTAGTCTGCCACCAAGCTCTTTAGTGATCAGAAGCCAAAGGGCGAGCTCCTGACCTTCCCAGGACTAAACAAGGAAGTCGACCCTGCAAGGTAGACTTGCTGAACGAATTCCTCAGAGAAACAATTACACTGGTAGGTGGTCAGCCAGGCTAGGCTCTGGATTTAGATTGAGGTTGGTCGAAGGCAAAATAGCCTACAAAAGTACTTAAAATATATATTTTTATTAAGGTGCAAGAATACTTTAAATAGGAACAAGAAACAGGATAAAAACAAGAAAGCTAGAAATTTAAGAGCTAACGAGAGCATTAATACATTGGTTCCAAGTTACAGGATGTTAACCATTCTCAGTTGAATATTCCAATAATCCAAACTGGCTCTCTCCAGAGTCAGCAAAGGCCCGAAGCCACTGTCCAAAATGGCCACCTTGAGCTGGACAGTGACGGCATATCCAGATCTTCGGTAGTCACCATCAGGCTAAGGAATAATCTAGAAATCTACTTTTTTTATGGGTAAGGGGCCCACGTGGCCTCAGGCCTGAAAAGCCAGTAGGGGTCCAAGATGATGTATAGCCAATTTGTTAGGCCAATATCTAAACAGATTATCTAAGCAGTGGTCTGACCTGGGAGGAAAGAAACCGAAACCGGTCTGCTGCTAGGCTCCTCCCCTTTCCCACAGGTGCAAATCATAGTTCTTAATTGAATGGAATGTGTCTAATTGGGAGCTGATAACTGGGCTCCTTGACTCCTCTCTGTCGCGGGGTGTTATCTGCAGTTTCATAAGGTCAGCCTGCTCGGTTTCAGTCCTGTTCTTCTGAACTCTGGTAACTTACAAGCAGGCCTTCTGCCTGAACCAGACTTTTAACACAGGACAAGAAATTTTAGGGAACCATTTTCTTTACAGGGACAATCAATAGCTGATGCATTAGAATTTTAAGAATCTGGAACCACCAGAAAGAGCTGAAGCATAGCAGCAGTATTCACATGGCACATTAAGCAGTACAGAAATAACACATGTTCCTAATTACAACACGCTATCATGCCGGCCACATGACCACGGAAATGTCTTCAGACAGTGCTGGCTCTTCGGCTTGGAAACAGAGATAAGCACTGCATCCCTAGAGTCGGATTCAACTGGCTTTCGAGCAAGGGAAACCTTTACCTATACCCAGCATATAGTCCACAGCAATGTTCCCTCTAAGCTGTGGAGTCTTATGAGCAAAAATTCTACTTTGTGAGCTACTGGCATTATAGTTGTGAGTGAATGATTTGGCGGCTGCAGATATCAGTCTGCTCTGGAGCCCTAACCTTCCTGAGCGGAGACAAAAATGTGTGAGCCGGAGGCTAAAAAACTGTGAGCTGGCTCACAGTAACTCAGCTTAGAGGGAACACTGGTCCACAGTCCCTAATCATTTATCCAAACGAGTTTGTAGAACGGTTTTGTACTATGCAGCCTTTTTTGTTTTTTGAATCCCCGAAGGGATATTTTTATTTTTGCAATAAACTACAAAACTACAAAGAAAATATTAGGAAGGGTACTACATCTAGGGATAAAGAAAAGATTAGGAAGGGTATACTATACTAAAAACCCCAAGAGGAGGAGATCTTATCCCTGTTAATGTACGTGTTAATACTATAAGTGTTTGTATCACAATATACTTGTAGAGTTCTTGTTTATTTTAGCTTCGATACTTATGTGTTAATATGTTAGTTGTTATGAGAGAACTTTCTGATCATCTTCTTGTTCTTCGCTTCAAAAGGCTATTTTCCAAGTCCTTCTGCCTTTACTTCGGCTTTCTGTCTCTAAAGTCATATACAACCCTGGCAGCACCTGCTCCCGTTTCTACAGCTGAGTCCTCTTCCATTCCAGAGGTGGCAGAGTCACTAGATTTTGTTTCTTCCTCCTTGGACTCTTCCTCCGTTCCCAGCTGATGCCGCAAAAACTCTTTAGCTTTGAAAATGGAGTCTATATTCTCTCTTTTGTCGTTGATCTTAAAGATGACACACTCCGGGATTGCCCATCTGTACGATATTCCATTAGTTTGAAGGAAAGAAATTAAATCCTTATAATTTTTCCTCTTTTGTCGGATTTCAAATGGAATATCTTTTAAGGTTTTGATGGTTATATTTCTCATTTTCAGTGGAGTTGCTGATGTCGCTTTTAAAATGGCATCTCTGGTCTGTCTTCTTGAGAATCTGACCACAATTTCTCCAGGCAGGCTAATTTTTTTAATATAGTTGGAATATGCCCTATAGGCCATCTCCATTTCTTTTACCAACTCATCCGCTGTTAAGTCTATTGCTGGAGCGATGATCTCGCTAAGCAATCTCCTCAGGTCCTCCTTCTCTGCTTCAGGAACTCCCTGGAACCTGAGAATCATGTTAGCTTTTTCCATCTGTAGTTGCAGCAAACAGCTTTCTTGGAGGTTCTGCTTTGTTTCCACTTCTCCCATTCTTTTCTTCAATTTCTTACTTGTGGTGTCTGTCTCTTTAATTTTCTCAGTTACCTGCTCCACTTTCTTCTCTGTTTCTTTCAGCTGTAGCTGCTGAGATGCAAAGTTCTTATTCATCACAGTCAGTTGTTGGTTAATACTATCGAGTTGCTCCATCACCGGCTTAAGCATATCCGCTAGCATTTTAATGACGTTTG